CCCTTGGGCATAGTCGGTTGAACCTGCTCGCGCTTGGACGGGGGGGTGAACAAAGTGCCTTCGAACGAAATACCTAAATCGCTGGTAGGTCCTGCACGTGCAGCCCGAGGATCCGCGCGGGTACCTTGAACGAAGCAATGCAAGCAAACAAAGAGCAGTCATCCAGGAATTGGTGTCCCCTGTTTTCCGGCTACGTGGGGTACAAAATTCCCATCGCATCTTGGGACACTTACCGACCATGCCCACGTGTGCAGCCGGCCACATTTTCGTCGCCATTACGTTCAAAAACGTTTCACCCACACTCAACAATACATCATTCAATCAAACAATTCATCAAATTGCATAGCCGCCCGCTGAATATGGCCTGCCTCTAGTAAGCCCTATGGGGCATATAAGATGCGCCCTGGCATACTCTCCTCTTCACCTTCTTCTTCCGCGGTGCCAGTGAAAGCCCAATGCAAGTCGTTTTGGTGTCGGCCACGTCATTGCCAGGTGGTCTCTGGCCCCACATGCTGCGGGGGTGGAGAACTTTTTGGACTTACCCCAGTGCGTGCGCCAATCATGAAAATGCCGTGCAGGTGAACTCCCGAACGCCGGGAATTAGTGGTTTCTTTGGCAATCTCTTCGCCACCCGGTACTGAAACCTGGACCACCAACCCCGTGTTCGAGTCCAAACCATATTCAGAGGCAGCCTGGCCCACAGATTCAACAATCATTCGTCGCGGCACCCGTGTTACCGCAGGTTCACCCACTTCAATGCCCGTCCCCGGACGCGTTACTGTACCGACCCCGGCCCCTCCAACTATGCGGACGCCAGAGGCAGAGAGATCTGGGTCCCTCCATACTGTGCAGCAAATTTCTGCCCCGTGGGTAACGTCAGGGTCGTCGCCGCCGTCCTTGGTAACGGCGCAAGTTACCCTATCACCTTCCTCGGACCACTGGCAGTGATTCACCTGAAAAGTAACATCTCTCCCCACTGGCAAGCGGATGGTTGATTCTGAGACGGAGGTCCCAGTCAACAATGCCTGGGTAGCAGCTTTTGCCGCCGCCGCCGCACACGATCCGGTAGTATAACCGGTGCGTAACTGTCGCCGCCTGATAGTCTGGCGACTGTAATCGCTTTCCGGACGCTCTTCTCTGTCTGAGTTTTCGGTCATCCTGTCTATTTACCACTCTGGACCGGATTGGGAAAGAACGACAAACACAAAGCCCCTGAGTGCCGCCTAACCATTCACCTGCTAGGCTATCAACTTCCTGCCCATATTTGCCGAACCCGGTCTGCAGCTACTTCAATCACTTTGTCATCGACCCCCAGGGGCGGAGCCACGGTCATGGCTACCTCTGGATACTCTTGCCTCAATTGCTCCAACGTTCCCAGGACATTTCGGGTCAATATAATCCCTGGAAAAAGATGTATGGACGCAAATATATGGCCCGTCGCCCCGCTCCCTCCTCAATCAACGAGCAGCGGCAGCCTCCTAGTTGGATCGCCGTAGTGAGACCTGCGCAACATCAACCACGTAACCCTGACCCATGGCTTCTTCTACCATTTGCCCAACTCTACAAGCCAACGGCAATCGTCAGTACTGGTGCGGGTCCGGCTTTAAAAACATGCAACGATCAAATGCAACGGTCTCACATTCCTGAGTCGGCGCAGCAGTTTCATGTAGCCAGATGCGTTCCACATTACGCTGCCAACTTGGGTCTGCACCACGCCCATCCGCCAGGCTCAATCTACCTGGGCATCGGGCCCGGATTATCGTCAGCATCTCGTCCATTTCGAGTAGGGCGTGTTTCCCGTTCCCAGCAGTAAGGCATCACGACTATCTGTTGGTGCTCGGCGCAGGATAGACGAAGAGCCAATATTCGAACTCTGGTTAAAAACTTTACCCCGACGCATTGACAGGGACTTCATTGCGCATTGTCAGCTCCGTGTTGAGAAAGGTGAGCTGATCGGAGAACTAAGATAGATGAAAATTGGTTGGATCTGGGCGATTGCTTATGTCCCAATTCCGTTTGTTCTAAGAATTCCAACAGAGAACCACGTGGGGACCCGCACCGCCAATGCGGCCTGAAGCCTTCGATCCGCCTCTCCAATCCCTGGGATTGTTTGGAACGCGCCGGCACAGCCGGGCCAGCCAGGTTAATCCGTCAACCCCGCTTCCTTCTTTGGTCCACCTTCTTTTGGTCTCTGGTGCTGCCAGGCCAAGAACCTCTCGCTGACTGCACCGCCTCTGGCTTCCTTGTCCTCCAGCATACTACTCCCAATAGGTTGGCACCCCTGCCGTCATTCCTTCAACCCTGGCTGCCCCTGCCCGCCGTGTCTGGTGACATGTCCGTGAGTTGTTGATCGCTCAATTGGCCTCCCGACTTGTCGGAGCGCGGAAGTTCCAAAGTGCAATTAACAGTAGTGGCATCCGCGAAACTGCCGCGCGTCGCCTAAAAGGAAATGTACGTGGATTTCCCTGCTAACCAGTTTCATGCTTTGGGGGGGGGGGATTTTCCGGGGCAGGCAACAAGCCAACTTGCATGGCCGATAACAGAGCCGTAGATGCCGACCCCGAACTACCAGGTCCAGTAGAGGCGCCAAAATCGCGGTGGGATCGTTGCCGATGTCAACCCAGCACCTTCAGATGAGGGGCGCCAATGTCCCTGACTGTGCTGCTACGGATGTGGTGGTCTTTTCCCTTTGGGGCGGGCAGGCCACTTTTCAGTCACGTCAATGAGGAAGCGGTGCGACTTGCTGCCGCTCAAAAGCGCCTTGGAATGCCCATTCGACATTCTTACATCGTGCCCATTATTTTAGCCTTTCGCGCTGCCATAACAGCTTGCCACTGCACCCGGGCTAAACACTCACCATCTTCGGCAGGTGCGGGTCCCCTTCGGGCCCTCACATCCGTCAAAGCCATATTGCTCCTCCGGCGGCAGATTGATTCCCCCCGGGCATAATGGCCTTGACCATTTTCATCAGGCTCTCCGGGTCGATTTCTTCGGGCAAGAGAGCGTATTTTTCAACCAGGTCATCTTAGTGTCATCAATCGAATATGCCAGCCTGCCATACGGCAAGGGTTCCTTCTATATACCACTAACCCCAACCACGTTAACCAGGCGCATGGCACTAAATAGCTTTGTCCACAACTTTTCCTTCGTGTAGTGCTGTACCTTGCTGCTGGCAGGGGGGCCAGTTCGTGGGCCAGTTGCTCGTCATATCCCGGAACTTCTAATGCGGGTCCCTAACCTTCCATTCACCTGGACCACCAAAGGATTGTTTGCGCGGCGTCGGCTGCCAGCGATTTCGCCCCCCCCCCCCTTTTCCCAGGCAGGCAAACTCTGTTGGTGAATTCCTAGAAAGCCGTGTCCCGTCTGCTCCCACAGTTTCCTCCAGGCATATGGGAGCGATAGGACTAGCATTTAACATGAACTTCACTTCGATTCATTCCATCCAAGTGTCGCGAATCAAACATTTGCCTCGGGCCCAGACCTTGCTACGGTGAACATTAACCAACTCTCATTTGGATGCAATGGCAGTGTTAAACTTGAAATCCGATCCAAGTCGCCGTGCACTTTCGCACCGTCTGGTGAAGATTCGAAGCGTGCTTTAACTGCTGTGCATCAACAGGCGACGACCAAGGTCTTGTGGGTCCCCCCTCGACACCAGTGCCCAAACCCGCGGTTGATGCCAGCGCGCAACGCCATTCATTCCATACGGTCGCTCCAAGGGCCACCCTGTCCCAGGGCCCGCGATAAACATCAGGAACATCGGACCGCGTCCCGCGCCATTGTGCCAATAACTCATCCGGGTTTCACCACATTTCCACGACTCTTGCTCATACTCTTCCTCGTGGTCAAACCCAGGATCACGCCCTATTGAAAGGCGAAGGAATGTTCGTCAAAATCCAGCCAATCCTATGTCCCGCATGGGCCTTATAAAGAAACGGGCATAGAGGCAGGTGCATACCAAAAACCGCGTGCTCAGCGCCACCGGTTTATTGGTCTAGTAATACGGAAGCCATTGCTTGAGGATGTTCTGTCATATGGGCCATCCCCGGACTTTGGGCCGTGTAACGAAGCAATGCCAGGACGAACTACAAAGTTTCCAATGGTGTCCGTTTTCACGGAGAGCGGGTCCCCCGCATGTGGGCAGGTGGTGGTGTTGCGAACGGCCTCGTTTCACGAGCCACTTTGAGACTCGCCTGTGTGGCTTGAAATCTGCATCTTCGAGCATCACCGGCAGATTCTCTCAGGTACCGGACCGCACCGCACCTTCGCAATAGACTATCGGTATTGGAGTACCCCCCAATACCGTTTGCGAAGATAGCCAATCTCGGATCCGGTAAGATGTGTGCGATGGACCCAGCTATTCCGCTCCACATCATCAGACGATGGCCGACATGCCTCCTTCACATTGGTCATGCCTTCGTATTTCCCTGATTGGTCATAAAACCGCTGCCTAAATGGCCTCTTGTCGGCTCTTTGCCGTCCAGTCATGGACCAATTACTACTACCGAACCGGAGAGAACCCATTTTTTGCCCAAAAGCATAGTCCTCGGTTCTCGGGGGCCGATAACCGCAATAACCGTACGGCCCATCAAAGCGCGCCGGTTCCGTTATGTAGTTAAACTAATCAGCCGTGTAGATGGGGATACGTCACCATTCAAGGCGGTTGTTGTGCGTAAAGTCCCGAGAGGGAGGGAGGGATGTGAGTCTTGTTGAATGTTTTGGGTTGGGAAGTAGCCAGCCTCCTTTTGTCCCTTTTGTATGGGTCTTGTCGCTGTTCTGTGCTTTGTGTTCTCCTTTTCTTTTGTCTTCTCCTTTTTTCCTTTTTTGCTTTCGCTTCTCTTCTCTTGTTTCCTTGTATTTCTTTTTGTGTTGTCTGCTTGACTTCTTCTTTTTCTTTTTCTTTTCTTGTCTTCGTTTTTTCTTGTTTTTGTCTCTTCTTCCTTTTTTCTATCGCTTCTCTTTTTATTCTTTTTTTTTTTCCTTCTTTTCCTTTTCTCTTCTTATTTTTCTCTTTTCTTACGTTCGCCTCACTTTTCTCTTTTCTCTTTTCCTTTCGACTTCTCTACTGTGCTTTTTTTACTCTCTATTTTCTTTTTTCTTTTCTCTTTCCTTCTTCCGCCCTCTCCTTCTCTCCTTTTTGCTTTCCCTCTTGTTTCTTTCTTCTTCTTCCTTTTCCTTTTCCCCTCTGTTGTTTATTCTTTTTTTCGTCCTTCTCTCTTGTCTTTGTTGGTCCGGGCCTTTTTTTTTTTTTTTCTCTTGCTGCTTCCTTCTTCTTTTTTCTCGTCTCTTTATTTTGTATTTATCGTTTCTTCCTTTTGCTTTGTCTTTTCTTTTCGTTTTTTTGACTCTTCTCTTGTCTTCTTTTCTTGTGTTTTTCCAGGAGGGGGAGGCCCCACCAACCAGTCTTTTCTTTTTCGGTGAAAGCCTCTCAATTTCATTACGTTGTCTGGCCTGATGACGGTTTTTAAAAAAAAAAAAGGCTCTACCTTGCCCGCTGACCGGCCGGTCGTCGCACAATGGCACCAGAGGAGCTCTGGAGGGCCAGAACCAAAAGGTCACTCCGAAGATAGTATAATGCGGTGTGACGTACGAATTCCTTCTCTTCCAGGCCGTTATGAGAATACGATCGGATTATCGCGGCGCTTCGCTGCACGAACCGACCCAGTTTCGCTGCATCATCAGGATTTTCTCTCGGGCCATCCACCAACCCAACCGAAATCCCAAACAGTTTCATCACGTAGTCAGTGATTTTTTAAGAAACCATTGTTCCAGTGTCGCGTCTGGTCACCACGGCATTGCAGCGTTCGCAGCTGCCGTCAGCACTTGCTCGTTTGCCAGCACCGTCTGGCATGATGACAAACCCAAAACCACCACCGGCGCCTTTGAACGATAAGCCAAGCCATGCCTCAAGAAACTGCAAAAAGAAACCAATTGTTCCGCGGTAAATTTCGGGCAGGCAACAACTGACCATCGCCGGCCAGTCATAAATGGCGCCGATGGACCTGAGTTGCCCCCGCATATTATCTATGTTGCTCATCGTCCAGTTGTAGGGATGAATTCCCCTGCTTATAGCCGCGTTCTCCGCTGGTAAACCAAACGCGTCAAACCCAATTGGATGAAGAACGTTGTAGCCCTGCATCCGGCGAAAACGAGCGTGGCAATCAGAGGGCGCCATTGCATACCATGCCCGATATGGAGGTCACCGGAAGGATAGGGGTACATAGTCAAGTCAAACCATTTAGGACGGGAATCGTTATCATCAACGTGATACAGATCGTCCTTCGCCCAGCGTTCTTGCCACTTTCGGTCGACTTCAACCGGGTTGTAGCGCAGTTCAACTTGCCGGGGAACGGATGTCATTTTTGTTCACCTCAGAAGAGCGGCTGGGACATATATTAGCACAGAAACTATGATCCCGACGCGAAAACTGCCCGCTTCATTGGTTGGGAAAGGGTATAGGAAAAGCGGCGCGTTCCCAGAGTATCTACCTCGTGCATATAAACCTGCGATTGACACTCTTCAGCCTTCAATCTAGAATCTGGTTGGCTGCTTTCCCTCTGCTTTAGTGTTTTCCCCGCTCTCCCTTGTTCTTAAGAGTAAGCTCATCCCAAAGTCATTAATAACCGCCGAGAGCGCTATGGTGAGTCCAAAACGCCCAGGCCTTCACACCGACACAGTCATCGTTTGCCCAGGCGCCGCGAAGTTGGAGAGAGCCAAGGTATTCGGGAGAATTGCGCAGAGGCGCCCAGACGCGTCCTGACCCCTCCCTTCGTTCTCTTATATGGGTTCATCGGGCTCATTGCCGCTGGCGCCATTCTCTTGGCATTGCCGATTTCAAATAGCCAGTGGCAGTCCACTACTCCGATAGTGGCGCTCTTTACTTCCACGTCCGCCGTTACTGTTACCGGTCACACCGCCGTCAGCACCGCTCAGCACTGGAGCTACTTTGGTCAAGCCGTCATCTTCGTTCTGATGCTGGTTGGCGGCCTGGGCTTTATGGCAGCCGCTACCTTTGTCTTGCTTTTGATTGGCCAACGTTCCAGCATATCCGAACAGTTGGTCCTCCGTGAGACTATTGGCGGAGACCAACTGGGAGGGTTGCGGGAAATAACACGGAATATCCTGATAGTCGTCCTACTGATCTATGTTGTGGGAGCGGCCATCCTTTTTACCGGCATCAAAGAAATCACGGACTTCGGAATCATCGAATCAATTTGGCAGTCGATTTTCCTGTCTGTTTCCTCCTTCAACAATGCCGGGTTTTCGATACTTCCTGAAATATCTGACAGCAGGTCACTAGCCATTCTGGACAACCGGTGGGCAATCCAGAGTGCGATGGCGCTGCTGATAATTCTTGGCGGCATTGGATGGACAGTCCTTGTTGACGTTTCTCGGCGGCGGCGATTTTCCAGGCTCTCACTGGATACCAAGCTTGTGCTTATTGCCAGCCTGGTCCTCTGGGCGCTGGGATTTGGCGCATACTTCCTGGCAGATTTTGTCACCATAGGCGACCATAGCGACCTTTCCCTATTTCAGCGGACTGGTGAGGCCATGTTTCATTCCATCAGTGGAAGGACAGCGGGCTTCATCATTGCCGATTTCGGCGCTGCGGAAGACTTCATCAAGTTAGTATTTACTTTCCTGATGCTGATAGGGGGTGCCTCGGGGTCAGTCGCTGGGGGAATCAAAGTTAATACGCTGGCTGTGGTTGTCGCCGCCGTGATATCTTCCATTAGAGCTCGACCTCAAACCGAAGCCTTCGGGCGCGAAATCCCACAGACCCAGGTATTCAGGGCATTGGCGATAGGCACTCTCGCGTTGGCGTTTATTACGGTAACTGTGCCGATACTGACGATTACCGAAGCCGCTTCTCTGCGCTCTGGAGGACTCGAATTCGTTGACCTGTTTTTTGACACGGTTTCCGCGTTTGCTACAAATGGTTCATCTACTGGCATAGTTCCGCAACTCAGCACTATAGGACAGTTGATCCTTATAGGCGCTATGTTCGTAGGGAGAATTGGACCACTTACCCTCGCCTTAACTCTGGCTCCTCAAGAGCAAATGCTGTATCGCTTTGCCCAGGAACGGGTTAAAATAGGCTGACGGAGGATCTGGATGAAGAAGCGCGTTTGTGTCATTGGAATGGGTCGTTTCGGAATTGGTGTTGCTAGAGAGCTGTACCAGGCAGGGCACGATGTCCTGGTATTGGATACCGACGAAGAAAAAGTACAGGGTATGTTGGGTGGCGCTACTTACGCTGTCCGAACGGACGCCACCAGCGAAACAGCGCTTAGACAGTTGGGGGTTGCCGAGTACGATGTTGCGGTATTGACTCTCGGCGACGAAAACGTGCAGTCCAGCATCCTGATCGCCATGGTCCTGAAGAGCATGAATATTCCCTTCATTGTCGCTCGAGCAGCCAACGAATTGCACGGCGAAGCCCTGGAAAGGATTGGCGTAAACCGCGTAGTTTATCCTGAAGAGGAAAGCGCCAGGCGCCTAGCTCACGTGGACTTCAACGCTGGCATCCTGGATTATATGGAGATTCTCTCCAATGTAGGCATCAGCAAAGTGCGCCCCCTTCCAGAAATGGTTAGAAAGACCCTGGAAGAAGCGGGCCTCGCTGGCAATCACAATGAGCGGTCACTGACCATACTTGCTCTTCGCCGGGGACGCCGTTACATCCTTAATCCTTCAAAGGATGAGAATATTATGCCCGGCGATGTGCTATTGGTAGCGGGCCCCAGTGAGCAGGTTGCCGAAGTCTTTACCACCGGCGAGGCGCGTCAGCAGGCCACAGCCGTTTAGGCAGGCCTGTCAGGCGTTCAGTTTATGCTGCGCAAGACCACCAGCAGGCTCCGCATTTTGGCACCAGTAAACGGTACACAAGCCAGTGAGTACGCTTTCAGATGGTCCTGCCAACTCGCTCGCAACAGTCGGGCCGACCTCCTGGCAATATATGTCTTTGAAATCCCAATGGAGTTTCCCGTGGAATCCTTACGAGGCCGACGTGATCTGCTAGAAGGGGAAAAGATTCTCCACCAAGTAGAGGAGATCGCCAACTCTGAGCGTTGGCAAGTCAATGCGAGTATGATAGCGGCCAGAAACGCCGGACCCGCCATCGTTAGGGAGGCTCAGGAAAAGTCAATTGACTTGTTAGTTGTCGGACTACCATATCGTCGACCCATTTCCTCTGTCCCTGTCGGAGTGACCACTGACTTCATTCTGAAAAATGCCTCTTGCCAGGTATTGGTGTCCAGGGAACCGTCACCTTTTGTTCCCAGTGAAAAGGACTGACCCGATGCGCATCCTCATCTACGGTTGTACCCGCCTGACCGATGCGTTGGCCCCAGTCTTGATACAGGATGGGCATCATGTAACCGTAATGGACGCCGACGCCGATCGCTTAGCAATCCTCAGTAAGCAGACGGAAGTAACCACAGTGTGGGTCGCCGAGCCGTTAATCCAGGACTACTTGCTGCAGGGAGAATTCAGCACGGCCGACGCTTCTTTATCCTGACCAATGAAGACCACAAGAATCTCCTGATGAGCCAGATTGCAACCCATATATACAATGTGCCCAAAGTGATGTGCCGGATCACAGATCCTCAGCTTCACGACTTGTACCAACCTTTGGGGATAACAATATTGGACAGCGGTCCCGATTTCCTGAGCTCGGCCCGGGAGTTTCTGGACAAATCGGGGCCTCAATAATGTTTGTAATAATTGTAGGCTGCAGCGCGGCAGGCTACCACTTGTCGAAGCTGTTGATGGTGGAACAGCATGAGGTAGTCGTCGTTGAGAAGAGCATTACTCGTTGCCAGCTTATGTGGGAAGAACTGGGAAGTGTAATAATTCAGGGCGACGGGACAGATCTGGTGGACCTCAGGAGGGCCGGTATAGCGAGGGCCGACACCGTTGTTGCCGTGACCGAAAGGGACGAAACCAACCTGGTTATCTGCCAAATGGCGAAGCACGCTTTTTCGGTCGAGCGCACGGTTGCGACAATTAGGGACCCCCAGAATCAGCCCATTTTTCGGCTGCTTGGAGTAGACGCTGTAATCAACATCGGGGACTTGGTACTGGGAAGCCTGGAACGAAGCATCGTGGGCGGCAGCTTTAACCATTTGGCTAACATAAGGGAGCCAAACACTTTCCTTGTGAGTATGACTATCCCTGATGATGCTGATATCGTAGGAAAGCAGCTATCAGATATAGAACCACTTGACCATAGTTTCATTAGTGTGGTCGTCCGCGAGGACAGGCCAATGCCTGCTTTACAGGACTTGATCCTGCGGGCCAATGACGAAGTGTACGCAGTCACGGTTTCGGATGAAGAAACAACCTTGTACGAAAGACTGACCGGGGTATAGCGATGGTCAAACGTTTGTCTTATCTGGGTCCCGCAGGAACCTACAGTGAAGCAGCAGCGGTGCTTTACGATTCTGGAGCTGAATTGGTACCTTTCCCCACTATCCCCGCTGTGTGTCGGGCCGTCTCGGATGGGATTGTCGACGAGTGTATTGTGCCCATTGAGAATAGTATAGAAGGTTCCGTCGTATACACACTGGACTTCTTAATCAGCGAAACCGATCTTTCCATCTTTCACGAGGTAGTCCTACCCATCCAGCATTGTCTTATGGTCAGGCCAGGCTCAGGCACAGAGGACTTTAAGGTCGTATTTTCCCATCCTCAGTCCCTGGCTCAATGCCGGCGATACCTGGAAGAACAATTCCCGAGCGCAGAACCCGTGGCTTCCTTGAGCAATTCGGCAGCCGTTACTGACATGCTGGAAAGTAAGGTCACGGCTGCAGCCATTGCCCCCCAACGAGCAGCGGAACTTTACGGCGCCGAAGTAATCCGGAGCGGCATTCAAGACGTGACCAATAACGTCACTAGATTCGTCTTGCTGGGGTGTAAAGACCACTCACCTACCGGAAACGACAAGACGTCATTTTGCTTCACCTTCACAAAAGATGCACCGGGCTCCCTTTACAACGCCTTGGGGGTCTTTGCCAGCCGAAACATTAACCTGGCAAAAATTGAGTCTCGGCCAACCAAAGAATCTCTTGGCCAGTATAACTTTCTGGTGGACTGTGAAGGACACCGGGAGAACGAGTTGGTAAGAGAGGCTCTGGAGGCGCTTTCAGCCCAAGTCAGCGGGCTGAAAGTATTCGGTTCCTACCCCTGTTGGAACCCTGGAACCTGACCGATTTACCTAAGCTATCGAGCTGCAACATCTGAACTGTCGAAATCCACAGAGTAACGCGGACCTCACAATCCCCTTCATAACCCCGCTTCCTGTTGCTGACGCTACGCTTCCTCGCCGCTCCTGAACCTGTCCCGGACGCGTTCCAATACCCGGTTCAAGTTTCCGAAAATACCGAACGTCCTGGATACATCCTTCGCCGAAGAAAGCACCAGTCCAGAGGCTTCTTCGAGATTTCGCGTAGTACTCTTCAGAGATTTGACAGGTCCTATAAGGTTTATCGCTGAGACTGCCAATGCTATTAGAACGACGATTAAGATTGCCAAGGAAACTATTATCATCAAGTCTTTGATAAAAGACACTACTACCAGTGTGCTCTCGTCCATCCCTTGCTCCCTGTGATTTCGACCTGTTAACGATTGCCTGCCAATGGCCGGCGCAGTTGGTAAATAGCGGTGTGCCCGTTATCAAATACTCTCGCCACAAAGCCTTGCTGCGCCATTATATCAAACTTCCCGGGCCCTTCCCCCGGATAGAATACTCTCTCCAGGTCCCCTACCACCACAAACGCTACATCGTACTTGGACAATAGCTCTTGGGCTCGAGCCAAATTGCTAGTTGTATAAATCACGCTAACGTCCTTAGCCCTCTCATGCACTTCCCACGAGTAGGCTCCACGCTGCTGTATCTGGTGCCAGGGCCACCCCAAGACAGTAGGCATCCCAGTGTAATTGGATACACGTCCGCCCCACCGGTATTGTTCAGTATGGGCTTCAAGGACAACCGGGCTTCCTTCAACGTTATCTTGCAGCCAGGATATAGCCTCCAAGTCCCACTTTAGTTCAATGGGTTGTTCCTTTTCCCAATGCACAGCCTTTTCCATATACACCGTCCCATCCAGGTTAGGAGGCAAGGGATTGAAACGGTCTGTCAGCCGTGCCTGCGTTCCCAGGAAAGTGTATATGAGGCTTGCCAGGACCAGGGTAGCTACGATCCCCATCCAGAAGGCATGAACTCCCCGGAACCCTAAAGGTCGAAAGCTATTGTCGTACCACATCCTCCACAAGAAATACGCGGCCGCAAGCGCGAACAGCACCCACACTTCCAGGTAATACTTGAACAGGGTGTTCATTCTCCCGATATCGTCCTCAATCCTTACCAGGTCCACGCCAATAGCCAGTCCCAATCCCATGACGACCAATACAACAGGGAAATTGCCATATGCTTGTCCACGCTCATTTGCCGTCATCACATCCCATAGCACAAGTCCGGCCAGCAGCAATATTACCGCTAAGATCCCGATGGTGAAGTAGCCCGCCAGCACAATAAAAACACCAGCCAGCAGCATCAATCCGGTATAGATACGAAGCCACTTCTGAAATGACCTGCGATACGCATTGGTCTCCACACCCATGTCCAGGTATCTTAGTCCAAAGCTTTGGCCCGCCACTATGTACAGAGGACGGCGAGCCTGCCAAACCAGGAAACAGACGATAATCACCAAGAAAAGACCGTGAATGCCGAGGAAATTCAGAAGCGGAGTCTTCCATCTGGTGGCTTCCACTCCGGTACCGAATGTCTCCACTGCCAGGTGGAATGGCAAGAACGGTACGACACTGGCGATAATGATGGCAGTTACGAGAATCAGACTCCAACCGATCCGAGGCTTGATAGTTTCCCACAAGAGGTAAACACTCACTGACACCAATACCAGTGCCAGCAACAAGTAACTGGGATAGTCCCAACTGTTGATCAACCACAGTGACCCTGTCGCAGCCCCCATCAAAATCAACGCGACTGTATCCCAAACCCGCCCTAGCCGCTTGAGGCCCACAGCGAGGTTTAGTCCCAGACCAATCACGAGGATAGTAAACGGGATGGCAATCATGTGGGCGTGAAGATCCGCAAAAAGGAAACTGAAGAATGGAAATTCCGTAATGTGCCACGAGACTTCCGTGTGGGCGTCGGCTTTGCCCCATAACCAGAAGGTGAGTAATCCGGGCTCCAGGCTCTCCGAATTCGGCAACATACGACTGCTGCGCCAGAAATCGAAGGGCAGGAGGCTTCCACCGCTTCCCGCCACCTTGTCCCAAAGCCTCTGCACCAACTGGACCGCACCATCCAGATTACCTATAACGGCTACAAACAATCCGGCGGTAAGGCCCGCAGTTATTGGACTCCTGACGACTCTCGCGAACTTGGTTATTTCCTGGAGCGAGTGGGTACGGTAGTCACCTGAATATTCCATATCGGCTTCAACGTCGACGACATTTGCCATTCTGGATCTGGCTGGCCTTCGGGACCGTCGCACACCTTCTGCGAGGTTGTACACAACCGAATATGCTCCAGTAACCGTTAACGCAAACAACAAGGGAACTGCCAGATTGAACGCCACCGTCGGAACGATTCCTGCCAACCGGGTAGGAATAGCTAGAATAAAGTATCCCCAATAGTAATAGTTGAGGTAGCCACCGGCGAACCAGGGATCGTATGGTGGCAGTATTGAAGACCGAATGACAGCATTGAAATAGGCCATTTCCATTGGCTTTTCCCCACCACGGAACGGGTGCCAAAGGTCGGGGTTGAAGGCACGGATCAGCACAAACGCAAAGAATGCTGCCAGGAAGATTGCCTCGCCAGTGAGCAGCAATCGCCAGCGCTCCCGCAGAAATTCGGCTATTTCTCCCCACCTGCCTACCAATACAAGGCCCGACAAGACTGCCAGCGCCAGAATGCTCAGCCAAATCGCGCTTGAGGAAAACTCAAACCACCCCAGGCTCACAACAATCCACGCCAAATAGGAAACAACAAGTAGTCCAAGTATGCGCGCCAGCACTATTCCTCGGTCTGCCAAGGGCCGGAATATATACAGGCACAAGGGAAGCGATACCAGGTAAATCAATTCAATGGCAACCAACCAGGCCAAAGTTGGCCACCGGTTTGCCAAACTGTCTCGGTCAAACAAGGCAGACCAGGTACCTCCGGATTGTTGCCGTACCCAGTCCTCTTCTGAAAACTTCAGGCCGGTTGGTCCTTTTGGGGGACGCCCGGCCAACTGGGCCACGACAGTTTCTGGCGGCAGTTGCTCTACATTCCGAAATAACAACACCGTTGGATGGTCATACCCAACGACATTGTCGTCGGCATAACCCCAATTTAGCTGCATGGAGGAAGAGTCCCCTTCCGACGAGGATTCGGGACGGGGCAATCCGGTCCTGCCGAAGGCATCGTCGGCAATACTAATGCCGAGGAACGTAGGATAGGACGAAAACTTCTTCTCCAGCCGGTATCCCAGTTCTCCTCCAAAGAGCTGCCGATAGTATTCAGCGCTCAAAGGAAATCGTTCCGGGTCACTGGCAACACTCACGTAGGGTCGTTGACTGTAAAACACGAGGTAGTCAGAATTGGACAGTCTGTCTCCCAACTCGGCCATCTTCGCCACACCGTCAGGCTCATAGGCGGGAAACTGCCAGACCTTGTACCCATATACCTCGGGGATAAACTCGTCCCAATGGTTATCACTAACAATGGAGGATCCAGCGGGGACACGCTCGTTGATCCAGCTAGAGGCGTCAACGGCGGGGTGAGGGTTTGAATAGACGCTTTGGAAGGCCAGAGAGTAGAGCACTGTGGTGGCCAATACAGCTCCAACCAGAACCCAGCACCCTGCCAACAGTATGCGCTGTCCAGTCGAGTCATAGCGAAGGTACAACCACCATGAACTGGCCTGACTTACACCGGCAGCAACCCCCTGTCCCACTGTCTCCAATCCTGGACGCCCTCCACGCCGTCCGAAGACGTCACGGATCGAAAAGGGAGCCCAGAGAAGCATACGGCTTCCCAGCAAAACCATGAACGGTATTAGCGCAAAATAATAGCGTTGGAACCGCACCTCAAAGGTTTCAAGAAACAAAATGCTGGGGATCACCCAAGCCAGCATCAGAATGTCCGCTCTCCGCGCGAAGTTCTCCTTCCAAACCAGGACGGCCGTGAATAGTACAGCAGCCCAGGCAAGTATGCCCAAGAGGGGCCCCAGTCCCCATATTGCAGTTTGCTTGAACTGGTACAGGAAGGGCTCTGTCCCGACATACTGGATGGTAAACGGCCACAACCCGGCATTGCGAGCCATGTTTGCCTGGGCGGCCTGTTCAGCGAGGAAATTGGACAAATAAAGAAAAGCATAAGGAGTAACCAGGAAGAAGACCGCCAGCGCCACCCCACTTGCCGCCAAGGCGTGGAGGAAAGTCTGTTCAACAGCCCCTCTCCTCACACCGGACAAATTGCCGTTTCCGGTATCTACCAACCGGTAGTAGTAACAACAAATTAGCGGAAGCATGACTGGAAGAATGCTTGCCTTGGGAGCAAAAGCCAACCCCGCCACCAGCCCTAGCGCTAAAGAGTCCCGCAATCGCCGCTTTTCCATTACCTGAAATATTGCCCAGAAAACGGCAAGGACCAAAAGAGCGGTAAAAGTCTCAGGGCGGTAGAAATGGCTATGTTGGACGTGAATCACGGCAAAGGCCACCAGGGCCGCTGCCAAGAGACCAACCCACGGGCCGTACTGGCGGTCATAAATGCGTCGTCCCAACAGGAAGACCAGTATGACCGTCCCTACGTCCGCCAAGGCTGACAAAGAGCGTCCAACGTAGCGCATGTCAAGAGCGCCAATATCAGTGAAAAGCTCAATAATCGAGCGAAAGAACACCAGGATGTAGATCAGCACGCTACCCAGAGGAAACCAGTGGGGATTCAGCGGACTGCGGTCAAAATCGAGCAGGGTTCGGATGCCAGGAAGGCCAGGCTCAATTTGCGGGTGCTCCCGAAGGCAGTCCAGATAACCAGGCCTCTCGGTGAGCAAGTCATACATGCAGCCGGCCCGCATGTAAAGCGACCGTTCGTCGGGATGGAAGCCGTACCCTGAGTCCCAATTGATGCCGTTGAACCGAAGCGCCAATGCGACAATGACAATCAGGGCCAGCAATAGCCAGACATACAGAGAGTTTTGCAGGTGAAAGTGGTTTAGGCTGCGCACCGGTTACCTCCCGCAGTCGAGGTAACCGTTCCCTGCCGGGGCAAGCCATAGAAATAAGTTGGAACAGGTTTAGACAAAAGAAAGCGAGGAAGAACAATTAACATAGGGTTAAAGTTCCTCCCCGCCCCGTTTTCAGCCTGTGTATTGGGTATCCAGGAATCGGCTAAATGCCTTTGTCGCTCATGAAGGAACACAGGTCTGCCGTACGGCAAGAGTAGCCCCATTCGTTGTCATACCAGCCCATTACCTTGACCATATTGTCTGCCATCACAATGGTGGATAGAGCATCAAAAATGCAACTGTGGGGATTGCCGCGGACATCCGAGCTGACAATTGGATCCTCGGTGTACTCCAAGATCCCTTTCAGCGCTCCCTCAGCGGCGGCTTTGTACGCCTGATTAACCTCATCTACGGTTACATCCCTGCCGAGGTTAACCACGAAGTCGGTGACTGAACCGGTCGCCGTCGGCACACGGAAAGCGATACCGTGCAATTTGCCATTGAGTTCTGGCAATACCAATCCTACGGCCCGGGCCGCGCCGGTGCTGGTGGGGATTATGTTCATTGCAGCAGCGCGAGCCCGGCGCAGGTCTGAATGACGCTGGTCAAGAATAGCCTGGTCATTGGTATAGGAGTGGATGGTGGACATCAGGCCGTGCTCTATACCAAAGGCCTCGTGCAGGACCTTGACCATGGGCGCAAAACAGTTGGTCGTGCAGGAAGCATTGGAGACAATGTTGTGCTTATCCTTGTCATATTGGTCATCGTTGACGCCCAACACCATAGTCAGATCAACGTTGCTGGCCGGGGCGGAGATAATTACCTTGCTGGCTCCACCTTGCATGTGACCGGCGGCCTGTTCACCGTCGGTAAAGATGCCGGTAGACTCAACCACCAGATCCACGCCCATTTCAGACCAGGGAATTCGGGAAGGGTCCCGCTCGGAGAACACCTTGATATTCCGGCCGTCGATAACCAGATCACCATTGTTGGCTTCTACCTGCCCCCCGTACACGCCATAGCTGGTATCGTACTTGAACAAATGAGCGTTAGTCTTATCATCGGTCAGGTCGTTAACCGCCGCCACTTCCAACTTGTCCGGATAACGTTCCATTGTCGCTCGAGTTACCAGGCGACCAATCCTTCCGAAACCATTAACTCCAATGCGAGTAGTCATTACTTGCTTCTCCAATCAACCTTCAACTGAATTTGCAGGTTCCCCATTTCAAGAGCTTAGTAACGCCAACCAAGAACAGTGCTACCTGGACCCGTCCTATGATGGGGAACTATCTATTTTCTCCAGAACAGCCACCCGTAGGCGCTGAACCTGGCTCGATTAACGTACGAGGGAGTAGGTGAGGTAATCAATCGACCCAGACCAACAATTACCCGCCCCGTCTGCACCACCAACCACCATGTAAAGCGTAGCAGCGCCTTGAATCCCTGAATGACAAGATAGCGAAAGATCCGCCAAGCCAAGAACGATTTAGTTCGCTCCGTAGACAGCGTAGGCTCTATTTCCAGCATATTCCGCCTCCGCACCCAATTCGGCTTCTATGCGGAGCAACCGGTTATATTTGGCTACACGTTCGGATCTTGCCGGGGCTCCCGTCTTTATCTGGCCCACGTTCCATGCCACTGCCAAATCTGCAATGGTTGTGTCCTCAGTCTCGCCGGAACGGTGGCTCATGACGGCGCTCCAGTTAGCCTCCCGCGTCATCCGCAAAGCCTGAAGGGTTTCGGTAAGCGTACCAATCTGGTTGGGTTTTAGCAATACTGAGTTGCCGGCGCCCTCATCTATCCCCCTTTGCACTCGGGAGATATTAGTTACGAAGAGGTCGTCACCAACCAACTGCACCGAATCGCCCAACCTGCGGGTCAGCTCAGCCCAGCCCTCCCAGTCATCCTCGTCCAGGCCATCCTCAATACTGACTATGGGATAAGCTCGCTTCCAATCGGCATACAGGTCAACCAACTGACCTGAATCCAGGCTGGTTCCCTCCCTTTCCAGGACATATTGCCCGGTCGCGTTTTCATATAACTCTGAGGCGGCCACATCAAGGGTCACGAACACGTCCTTGCCTGCGGTGTATCCGGCAGTCTCTATTGCTTTCAGCACAACTTCAATGGCATCACGGTTTGATGGCAGGGAAGGGGCAAAACCTCCTTCGTCACCAACGTTAAGGTTATGACCACCAGCCCGCAGCAGACCCTTCAATGCCTGGTAAATCTCCGCACCCGCCCTGAGCGCATCCGAAAATGTCGGCAATCCAGCAGGAGAAACCATGAACTCCTGAATATCAGCCGAGTAGGAGGCGTGACGTCCTCCATTTAATATGTTGAACATCGGAGCAGGAAGGCTAACCCGGTTTCCATGCGCCAGGTAGCGCCAAAGCTCACCACCGGCATCGGATGCAACCAGGGACGCCACCCGGGCTGTGGCCATTGACACTGCCAGAATGGCATTCGCACCCAGATTGCTCTTGGAGGGAGTACCGTCCACCTCCAGCATTGCCTCGTCGATGGCAGCCTGATTGAGAGGCGATTTGCCAACCAATGCAGGTCCGATCACCTCGTTAATATTGGCCACGGCTTTTCGAACGCCAGAGCCCCCAAACCTGCCGGCATCCCCGTCCCGCAATTCCAGGGCCTCGTAGCTGCCCGTACTGGCGCCGGAGGGGACGGCCGCATGGGCCCTAATGCCGTTGGAAAGCCGTACCTCGGCTTCCACAGTTGGGTTGCCCCTCGAGTCCAGGACTTCCCGGCCCTTTACTTCAGCTATGACAGCGTTATCGTCCTGTTGGGTCATAGTTCGATGTATCTCCCGAACGTGATGAGTGGGCCCCAGGAAGTTGCTCAGTAAATCAATAAGAGACAGGAAGAACCGCCTGCTTATTACCGTTATCAGGCGGAAGGATCACTTAGGTTCTTCCGTCAGTTCTGTGCAGCTGCCCCGGCGGCAGCTACCGCTTTTTCCACCGCGTCGGCCGGGTCGGCGGCTGGAATCACCCCATCAACTATGGGATCTCCGTCTCCCTTAATGGTCAACGGCCAACTGTTAAGGCCAACAACAGGTATCTTGGCATCCAATGCGTAGGCGATTTCCGACAAGGTGCCGAAGGCTCCGCCGATGGCAATGCATGCCTCGCCGGAATGGACCACAATGATGTTTCGCGCGTAACCCAGAGTCGTGAAGATGGGAATGTCGACATGGGAGTTATAGGCAGTGCCCCGCCGGCCCGGCAAAATTCCGATGGTAGTGCCCCCCTCCTCCTTGGCGCCCCGGCACGCCGCTTCCATCACTCCGGTCATGCCGCCGCAAGCCACCATAATACCCCGCCTGGCCAACTCCCTGCCGACTTCCTCTGCCAGGGCAGCGTGTTCAGGCTTGGCGCTACTGCTTCCAATAACCGAGATAATCATCGACTGTTCTTCCCCTGATCCTGCTCAATTTCGCCCTGCTGTTTTTGGGTATCACACCAGGTTTCGTAGTTTTCCTTCATATAGACGACGTGCTCAGCCACATGCACCTCGTATATGCCCAGCCAGTCATCCAAGGTCATAACCCCATTCTCAGGATGGTAGCAGGTGTTGGCCCATACGCACTCGGGCAAACCTTTTATGAGCTCGTGCGTTTGCCGACGCAGCACGCGAAATAGATCGATCGCGCCCTCAGTATTTACCGAGTGGTAGTCCAGGAGTTCTGCCCAACGATTCTCGTCGTAAGCCATCAAGTCCTTGCCCGGCTCGGAAATAAGGCGACGGCAACGAACGTAGCAGTTTGCCTCGCTGTCGGCCAGGTGGACTATGTGCTCGTGGATGCTCCAACAACCGTGTTCGTCGCGAAAGTGCCACATTTCCTTGGGGAACTGGCTTATGGCCTTCGTCAGTTCCTCAGATGCCAAGCCGAAACGCTCAATCCGCTGTTTTCTCTCTGCTGAATCCACTGCGCCTCCCCTATCCACCAGGAATTATGGCGGCGCTGGCAGCTTCAACAAGTTCCAGCAACGGAGCGGGGTAAACACCCAAAGCTATGGTCGCAATCAAACCCAGGGCCACCACGAAGATAAGAGCGGCCGAAGGTCGCGGAAGAGGTATGTAATCCGCCGACGACTCGTGGTGGGCTGGCGTGTGAGTGTGTTCGTCATCCTCACCTTCACCGCTAGCGCCTTCCTCGGCTTCGACCTCGTCGTGATCTGACTGGGCGGGAGCTACCAAGGCCGGTTGGATGTACATCTGCCTGATGACCTGCAGGTAATAGTAGAGAGAAATCAAACTGGTAAGAATGGCAAGGCCGGCCAGCCAGAGATAGCCTTCGTTGGCCACCGCGGTAAAGAGATAGAACTTGATGGTAAAACCAACAAAAATAGGTAGACCGCTTAGCGAGAAGAGGCCAATGGCTATTGCCATGGCTAAGAAGGGCTGCCGATCGGCCAAACCGGCAAGGTCTGGTATTTCTTCCTGACCGGTGGCGTTAAAGAAGGCTATCAGTGCGGCAAACACCACCATGCTGGTTACGGAATAGCCGACCAGGTAAAAGATAACCCCATTGGCTCCCATCAGGGAATCTGGGGCCAAAACGGCAATTCCAGCGAGTATATACCCCACATGCCCAACGCTGGAGTACGCCATCAATCGCTTCAAATTGCTTTGGGCTAGCGCCACCAGGTTACCCACCACCATCGACAAGGCAGCCAGAACAACGATGATAATCTGCCACTGGTCCCATCGTTCCGTGACAGGAACAAAGGCCTCAGCCAATAGCCGCAAAACCAGGGCAAAGGCCGCGGCCTTGGAAGCAATGGCCAAATAGGCCGTGACCGGAAGGGGTGCTCCCTCATAAGCATCCGGGGCCCACATATGAAAGGGCACCGCTGCCAACTTGAACCCCAGGCCCGCTATCACAAGCGCCAATCCGGCCCAGAGAGCGGGACTAACGCTGGACAAGTCGATAAGAGATTGAGCAATGGCCTCGAACTTGGTAACCCCGAGAGTACTGTAAACCATGCTGATACCGTACAACAGAATGGCCGATGACAGCGCTCCGATGATGATGTACTTAAGACTCCCCTCGTTGGACTTAGGATTGCCCAAGGCATAGGCAACCATGACATATAAGCTGAAGCTAAGCAGTTCCAGGGAAATGTAGGCAGTCAGCAACTCTCGGGACATGGCCATCAAGTTCATTCCCAGGATTGAGAAGAGCAGCAGGCCGTAAAATTCGCCGGGATGGTTAAGGTGAAGCTTGACGTAGTCAATGGAACTGAGAATTATGAAGACGCCGATGGCAAGGAAAAATACCTTGAAGAAAAGAGAGTAATCGTCTACGGCAAGAAGTCCGTTGTACAGCGACTCCTTCTCACCAGAAAGCATAAGAACGGACAGAACCGCTAAACCAACCAATCCTAACGCAGAAAGCCATCCCAGCAGGTGCTTCCGGTCGTTGGGCACAAACAGGTCCAAAAGAAACACGACCAAAGCAAAACCCGCCAGGGCAAATTCCGGCGTAAGCAGGTGAAGATTGGCTGTCAGATTAGCGGTAGTCACGACGGTTCAATAAATACAACTAAAAGAATTTGAAAATCGATTCAGCAACCACATTGACAACTGGGGTCGATGACGTGGGGAAAAGTTCCATTACCGAATCCACTCCCACGTTGATTACCCGGGTGAACGGAGCGGGCCAAACCCCTACGAAGAGCAAGATAAGGACAAAAGCTCCACCCACGGTCTTTTCCACGGGACTGGCATCCGTTAAACCTTCCCAGCGAGGATCGACCTCGCCAAAGAAAGTACGGGCCAGCAACCGCAATATGTAAATGGCGGTGAGGGCAGCGCCCACAACGGCCAGGACTGCAAGGGGCAAATAAGTCTTGAAAGCACCGGTAAAAACCATGAATTCTGCCACAAACCCGCTTAAACCCGGCAAACCCAGGGATGCCAGACCAGCGATGGCAAAGAAGAAACTGGCGTACCCCATTCGCTTCATCAAACCGTTCAATATCGTAATGTCCCGTACGTGGGTCCGCTCGTAGATGGCCCCCACCATGGCGAACATGAGGGCCGTCATTATCCCGTGGGAGAACATTTGAAGCACAGCGCCCGTCAAGCCCACTGGATGCAATGTCGCTATACCCATGATGACATAGCCCATGTGACTTACGCTGGAATAGCCAATGATGTACTTCAAGTCCCTTTGGGACATGGCGGATATTGCGCCGTAAACCACGTTAACGGTGCCCATGACTATCAAGATAGCCATCCAGCTTACGCCAAAGTCGCCGACGTAGAACAATGGGTCTTGAGCGCCCTCGGGCAGCAAAACCATTCCCACCCGGATAATGCCGAAGGCCCCCAGTTTCATCAGTACGCCGGCGTGGAGCATGCTTACGCCAGTGGGCGCAGCTACGTGGCCATCAGGCGACCAGGTGTGGAAGGGCCAGAGACCAGCCAACACACCGAACCCGACCATGAACAGGGGGAAAACCCACTTCTGGAAGGTGGGACTGAACTCACCAGCAGCGGCGAGAACTCCCAAATCAATTAGGGAGAAAGTAGCCTCCCCTACTTGGCCGGAGGCTACGTATAGAGCCAAGATACCGACCCAGATGAGAACACTGCCAGCCACCAGGACCAGCATGAGCTTCATGGCGCCATATTCTTTGGGCCGGTTATAAGAACCCAAATCAAAGGGGATGGGAATACCCCACAACCTTTGTCGGTCGCTCTCGAAATAGGTGCTGCTGCCCCAAACGCCAATCAGCAGGTACATGGGCAGCACCGCCAACTCATAGAAGAAGAACAGGAAGAACAAGTCCTGGACTATAAATACCCCAAACACGCCGGAACCCAGTGACAACAGCAGCACAAAAAAGTCGCGGGTTCGGTGCTTAATGGTCTGGGAAATCAGGACTGCCCCAAAAAGCACAATGCCGTTGAGCAGCACCAGCGCGCTGCTATCCCGTCCATTGCCAGATAAAGGTCGATGTTCAGGGGCGCATCCAGCCACTCATAAATCCGAATGAACTGGTAGCCCCCGACCGTAAAGTCATATTGAACAAAGAGGACCACTGACAATACCAAGGTAATGGCGGAGACGAATATAGCGAAGTACCATGCATCGTTGGGCCGATTCCTTGGCAGGAACATGGACAACCCGGCACCGGCTAGCGGCACCAGGATAATCAACAACAACGCTACTTGGTCGAAATTGTTCATTGCTAATGGACAACTATCATGTGGACACTATCCACCAAAAGATTGCGAGCCCGACCAGTCCAAGGGCCATTGCCAGCGCGTAGCTATACACGTAGCCTGTTACGTGGTATCTCAGTTTGTTGCCCAGAGTCCTGGTAATGTCAGCCGGGCCGTTTATGCCCACGTCGTTCACCAGCGCCCGGTCCAACCAAGCCACAAACCTGGAAAGGGAAAGGACAACCCGGTCAATCCCCCACTGGTACATTTCATCGACGTAGTACTTGTTCTCAAAAACTCTCAGCAGTCCGGCAAACCGTTGCCGCGTACCTTCCACTGAAACGCTTCTCCTGGCATAAACCAGAAAGCCGAAAATAAAAGCCACCACGGCAAGAACCGTCGACAATGCTCCCAGCCATACCACAAACTCGAAGCCATGCCCTTCGTGGTAGAAAATGAACTTGCCAATGCCATCAAAGGAACCTGGCCAATTCAGCGCCACCAATCCGAAAACCAGCGCAAACACCGCCAGCAGCCCCATGGTGATTGACATGGTAGGGGGCGCATCGTGGACGTGTTCGTGCTGCTCTGCAAAGCGACCGTAGAACACTACGAACATGGCCCTAGCCATGTAGAGAGCACTGAGCAAGGCGGTCAGCAAAGTAAGAACAATGAATATCACTGGAAGCTCTTTGTTGACGGATATCAGTATCTCGTCTTTGCTCCAAAAACCGGCCAAAATTGGGATACCACCCAGCGACAGGGCGCCAATGGAAAAGAGAATGGCGGTTACGGGGCATTACCTTTCGGAGGCCGCCCATATTGCGGACGTCCAGTTCATCGGTGCTGTGCATCACGCTGCCAGCCCCCAGGAACAGGAGGGCCTTGGAGAAACCATGGGCCAGCAAGTGGAATATCGCCGCAGTATAGCCAAAGGCCCCCAGGGACAACATCATCAATCCAAGGTGGCTGATGGTGGAATAGGCCAGAATACGTTTCAAGTCAGTAGCCACAAGCGCAATGGTGGCGGCACCCAGGGCAGTAATCAGGCCGATGGTCGCCACAATAATCATCGCTGTATCTGATGCGCTGAAAATTGGGAAAGCCCGGGCCACCAGGTAAACTCCTGCAGCCACCATGGTCGCCGCGTGAATCAACGCGCTCACCGGTGTAGGACCTTCCATGGCATCGGGGAGCCAAACATGGAAGGGGAACTGGGCCGACTTGCCCATCGCTCCTAGGAACAGCAGCAGCGCCGAGACTGTAATCATGCCATCGCTGAGGACGCCTGCCTCGATTGCGGCAAAGGTATCCAGCATGCTGAAGCTGCCCACCTGGCTCCACAACAGCAAAATGCCCACCAGTAACCCCACGTCTCCGATACGAGTAACAATGAATGCTTTCTTGGCAGCTTCTCGTGCATCAGGGCGCTCGTGCCAAAAACCAATCAACAAATAGGAGCAGAGACCAACCAATTCCCAGGCAACGTACAGAAGCAGGAAATTGTCCGCCAGCACCAGCGTAGCATTGAGGCGATAAAGAGGGCGTGGAAAGCGTAGTACCAGTCAATCCGAGGGTCACCGTGCATGTAGCCCAGGGAATAAATCTGGACCATCAGGGCAACAAAAGTGGCTAGTCCCAGCATAGCCAAGGTCAGCGGGTCGACAATTATTCCCCATTCCACATGAATGCGTTCAAAGCTGTCGGTAACTGCACCGGGAATGCCTGCTTCAAACCAAGTTCGCTGGTAACTGCAAGTGAGCGCTTCCGTGCCTTCACCAATTTGGCATCCCTCAGTCTCGGGACTAGCCGACAAGAAACCAGCAAAAACAAACCAGAAGATCACGAATCCGGCAAGGATAGCCATTATGGCAATGGGAGAACCCTTGCCAGGCAGATACTTGCCAAACAGGATAATCAGTGGAACAGCTACAAAGCTGAGAACCGGGATTAGCCAGGCCCACTCCATATTAGGGAAGGACCTCCAGGCCCGCGGTCAAAGGAGACACACTGTCAGAGTTGGAGTAAAACACGCCCTTCAGCCTTACCACTTCATCAGGTTGATTTCGTCCACGTTCACGGTGGAGCGGTTTCGGTACATTCGCAGGATTATCGCCATGGCCAGACCCACTTCTGCAGCAGCGACGGTGATTACGAAAATTGCGATTATCTGTCCGTCAAAATTGGCCCACTTTCCAGTGCCGTCCAAGTGCGAAGCCGCAGCGATCAGGTTTATGTTGACCGCGTTTAGCATCAACTCAATAGACATTACGATAAGCACAGCACTCCGCCGTGCCATAACACCGTAGAGACCTATGGCAAAAAGGGCCGCGCTCAATAATTGAAATGCTACAAGAGGAACCATAATCTATTGGTTGTCTTCCCCCGTTCGGGCAATAATAATTGCCCCTATCAACGCAACTAGCAAGACCAGGGAGGCCACCTCAAATGGTATGGCCCATGCAGTAAAGAGGGAATTGGCCAAGTCAGCGAAGGCAGGGCTGTGGGGGGTCGATTCAGTAATCCCCTTTTGCCAGAAAGCTGCCCCCAGTACAACACCAACAGCGGCGGCAGCGACCGCCGCCACAGGCCATTGTTTGTTATCTGAAATATAGGGATACTCGGCGCTGCGGGTCAGCATTATCGCGAATAGCAGGACGATAATGATGGCCCCGCCGTAAATAAGGATCTGAACCAAGGCCAGGAATTCGGCAAAAAGTATCAAATAGACACCAGCAACGGCAACCAGAGAAACAAGCAGGAAAAGGGCGGCATGAACCACGTTACGAGTAACCACCACTCCCAAGCCACCGCCCAGCGTGAAGACTGCCAAAATGGTAAAGAGGAACCAGGACACTGCTAGTTGGCCTCACTCACCATGACAATGGCAACGATGTCGTCAGTTTTGCAGACCACTAACAGATCCGTTATGTGATGTTTATATTTATGGCACTTCATAAGGAGCTAAAAGGATCAACTACCTATAGTATCCGAAAAGGCGCCTCAGCAAGCCGGTTTTTTCCTTCTTCAAAGGTGGCAACTCTCCTACAGAGGCCAAGAGTGTACATGTTGAACAGTCGCAGTTCTGGGGATGAGCTCTCACCTTTTTCTGGAGAAACCGAACCCTTATTAGATGGTCTAATTTTCCGCTTCTTAAGGAATCGATTCGTGCATTCCTGGCAAGTACAGTATGCCGGGTGTTTGCCCGACAACTTCACATACCGCTCGTCCTCTCTTTTTGGAATCTTCCTCTCTCCCCTTGGACTGTATCGACAGGTAAATCAACGCCCGTAAACCGGAGATGGACTCAGTCAACTTCCTGACCGGCCGCAACAGCTTCGGCAGCCTTCGCCGCGTCTTCCGCTTCTTTCTTGGCTTTGGCCAACACCGTAGGCGGAATCCAGTTTGTGTCCTGCTGATACTTCTTGCCAATGTCCAGGAGCGCGGGAAGAGCAACACGGTCCCCGTTGCGCTCATAGGTGCTCATTTCGTGCTCGTGACTCATCACTATAGCGTCAAAATTGCAGAGCTCCACGCAAATCCCGCAAAGTATACATCGATTCAGATTAATCTCGAAATAATCGACAATCTTGCGGCGAGAACTTTTGCCTTCTTCATTCAGTGGATTATCCATCATACTGGCGGACATGCACTGGGTTGGGCAGTTTCGAATGCACACCATACACCCGGTGCAGAAGGGTTCACCAACATCTCCGTCCCAGGTAAGTGCCGGAAAGCCCATGAATCGAGGCTGTACCGGCGTTGGAACATCCGGATACTCGCGAGTAACCGGTTTCCGGAGCCCGTTAAAGGTGGAAGCAAGAGTTAACATCAACCCCTTAACGCTATTTAACATCGTTCACACTCCGCGCTCTGGTTAACCTGCCTGGCGGGTAGCCCGGCGCTCCGCAAGCTGCGCGCCTGCCGCGCCTTGATTTCAGCAATTCTGCGTACGGGGGCCATCATTCTACGATAAACGATATAGCCCACCAACACCAGCCCGGCCACAGACATCAGGGTCAGGGTCCAGCCAGGCCAATCATAGTACAAGTAAAAGGCCGTAATTACTATCGTATAGAACGACAGAGGCACCATTGCCTTCCAGGCGAAGGACATCAACTGGTCAATGCGAAGCCTCGGGAATGTGCCCCTTATCCAGAATACTACCAATATTACGGCGTACACTTTTACCAAGAACCAGACCACACTGAGCAATGGCGCCAACCATGCCACGTCGGGCAAAGATGGCAGCCAACTCAAGGCCGCAGCGTCCCAGGGCCAGTTCCAGCCTCCCAAGAAAAGCAAGGTCACCAAAGCAGCGATCGCAAAGGTATTAATGTACTCTGCCAGGAAGAACACAGACCAGTGGGCACCGCTGTATTCGACAAAAGGACCACCCACTACCTCAGACTCAGCGTGATAGATATCAAACGGCGTTCGGCCAACCTCAGCCAATCCGGCTATAAAGAAAACCACCATGCCCAGGGGGAGAATCAAACCGTAGGGAATTTGCTGCTGGCTGGCTACTATTACGCGCAGGTCAAGGGATTGGGCCAGCATTCCTACGGCCACTATGACCATAATCACGGGGATCTCGTAGCTGATTAGCTGTGCCGCCGACCTTAGTCCACCAAGCACCCCGTACTTGTTGCCGGAACCCCATCCGGCGAGCACAAGCCCTAGTATTCCAATAACAGCGAAGGCTGTTATGTAGAACAAGCCCAACTCCAGGTTGCGCAAAACCAGACCTTCCAGCCGCCAGGAATGGAACTCAACAAGCCAGATCATAAAACGCTGACGCTACAACCATGACTGCCGACCCATAAATAGCCCGTCAGAAGAAGTGATGATGTCTTCCGTTTAGGCTCAGAGCTGTACGGCGTACAGCAAGGCTGCTGCAGACAGGCCAAACTTTCCGGTGCGGGTTGGCCCGAGCCGCAATTGCATCTGACCCAAGCCCTTTGGCGCTGCAGACCGGTGAGGGTGAAAGACACACACTGAGAAGCCGGTAAACATGGCCAGCAAGCCAACGACCATCCAGATTGACCATGATCACAACGGTTACCACCGTGAGCAGGGCAGATTTGTGGCAGCGCACTCACCGGTCACGCGCTCACCTCAGCACGATGTCCAGCGAACCCAGGATCACAACAGAATCGGCGATCCAGGAATTCTTCAACAGATGCTTGATTGCCGAGAGATTGCAAAACGACGGAGGTCGGATCTTCAATCGGTAAGGGCGATCAGTCCCATTACTGATCAAGTGGACCCCGATTTCACCGCGCGCGATTTTCGGCACGAACATAAACTTCCCCTGCCGGGGGGCGGATCAGACGCCGACCCAAAGAGGAAGCCACCTCACCCTCTGGAATCTGTTCAAGCGCCTGTTCGATAATTTTAAGGGACTCGTACATCTCCTGGACACGTACCCAATGCCGGTCCCAGCAGTCACCGTCCAAGCCGACAGGAATGTCAAATTCAAAACGATCATAGACCGAATACGGCTGAGCCCTTCGTACGTCATACTCAATTCCGCAGCCCCTAAGGCACGGACCCGAGAAGCCGAAGTCAACAGCCTCTTCCGCGGAGATGGCGCCAACATCCTTGAGCCTGGTGAGGAAAATCTCGTTAAATGTCAGGATTCGGTCGCTCTCCTCCACATCCTTTCGAAGGACCGGAAGCAAGTCGGCAATCATTTGCTCGAAATTCTCCGGCAAATCTTCCTTGACACCGCCGATACGAAAGTAGTTGTGCATCATGCGGGCGCCAGAGATGGCCTCGAACAGCGACTGGATTCTCTCCCTGCCCCGGAAAGCAAACATGGTGGGAGTCATTGCGCCTGCATCCAAACCAATGGTGCCGACATACAGCAGGTGGCTGGCTATGCGGTGTTTAACAACAACTCGTCAGAGGATGACCGAACGTATTCGCGGGCGAACGACGTCCGCACTGGTGCCAGTCCTTCCCGATCGCTTTTCAACTGCCTGGCAGTAGACAAGCTCGTTATTGAAGTTTGCAACATAATCCAGCCGGTCAAAGAGGGTAATTACCTGATGGTATTGCTCACCCTCACACAGCTTTTCCGAACAGCACGGTGCAAATAGCCGATGTGGGGTTCCACATCCACTATCTTCTCTCCGTCAACCCATAGAACCATACGAACCCGTGGGTAGACGGGTGTTGAGGCCCCATATTGAGGAGCATTTCCACAGGTTCGGCATTAACCGAAGGATTAACGGCCGTGTTCGTTCGATTCTCTACCATTACTCCAATAGCCAAGTATTACTGTAAATGCCATGTATTTTTCCGATCGAGTAATCAGGAAACCCGGCGTCCCTTGCCGAGTCGTTTACTAAAGAAACTGAATCCGCGGTTCATTGGGTGGAGTAACCAGACTGCTCATCCAGACTTCGTCGTTATCGTAGAAACCGGCGTCAATCAGTACTTCGTCGAGAATTCCTAAGGCTTCGCAGTCTTCCAGATACGTGGACATTTCGTTGCGCAGCGATGTCCGTGCATCCTCTTCCGAATCTCCAAGACCGGTGATTACTAACTCCGGGCAATAAGCCAGGTAATGTTTGCCCTCACGAGTTACCTCTATTTGGTAAATGATCTTATCCAATGATCTATGGTGGGTTGGAGCGAAAATGAAAACACCAGCCCAGCCCGTATTCCTCGTTAATACTCAAACTCCAACTGAAGTTCAGTATCTTCTTCAACCCCGGGAAATCCTGCCTGCGCTAGAACTTCTTCCAAAGAACTCTTACCATCCTGGATCTCAATCCAGTTGCGCACAACATTAATTAGCTGGTCCTGCGCCGCCTCAACTGTTTCCCCCTCCCCCTCCAGCCCAAGCACTTCAAGGCTGGCTAAATATCGACCGTCCTGCCAAATCACTCTTGCTATCAAGACGGTCGGTTCCACGGTTCTAAAACTCCCGATACTCGTAAAAGGGAAAACTCTTCCGACCAGGAAATCCTCCAAATCCTTCATATAAAAGTAATGGAGAAGAATCGGGATTACCTTCGAACTTCACTCCAAACAAGTCGCTGGCCTCCCGCTCATACCACTCAGCGGCTGCCCAGACGCTGGAAACAGATGGCAGGACCGGATCCTCGTAGGAAACCTCGGTCTTAACCACTAGCGTCTGTTCACGATCAAGGGAATGCAGGAAATAGACCAACTGGAAATACTCTTCATAGTCAACGCAGGACAAACACAACAGCATTTTTAGATCCAGCCTCGGGTCGCTCTTGCCAATGCTACAAATCTGCTCTATGCCAGCGGGGTCCACCATTATCTGGGGAAGATCTGAAAGGAGGCCCCTTTGCGGGGAGAAATCCCGAAACAATTCCTCGGCTGTTTCCAGGGTCTCGAGGCCGGTTCGCGAGAGCACGGATAATCGGGTTGTTCCGACTCTGCCTCGGCGCCGTGTGCGGCATGCCGGTTAGCGGCCACTGTTTTTGGCGTCCAGCATTATTTTTTCCTGCAGTTTGAGGATACCAAACAGCAGGGCTTCAGGCCGGGGCGGACAACCTGGAACATAGACATCAACAGGAATAATGTGATCCACGCCCATGACCACCGAGTAGGAACGGTAGTAGGGCCCTCCATTGGTGGCGCAACTGCCCATGGCAATCACCAATTTGGGATCGGGCATTTGTTCGTACAGAAGGCGAGTCGGCTCGGCCATCTTCTTTACGACCGTACCCGCCACTATCATTACGTTCCCGACTCGCCTGTGAGAGGCCAGGTCACCCCGAACAGGTCAGTCGTGGTGCGCCATGGTATAGTCATTTGCAATGGCAACAACAGGACTAGCGCGAAATCAACATGCATAGAAGAGACTCATAGTCTTTTTTATTACGCGCGTTTATAAAAGGCTAAATGCAAGTCTGTCATAGTTATGATGATACATTATTCATTTCCTAATAACTTGTTAAAACCTAAAGGGGTAATGTGACTGTGAATTGTATGAAGCAAGGTGCTGGACCACATGCGGGCCATGCCGAAAAGCTGCTCCGACGTGGTCGTTACCACGCCGGGCACTTTGCCGGCGGTGGCCTGGTTGAGCAAACTGGGCGCCGGCTGTTGCCCGACCCAAGAATTATTTCTGCCATTCCAAGACCCCTTTCTTCCAACCGTAGATTATGGCAAAGAAGAGAACACCAAGGAACAGTACCATGGCATAGAGGTATGTGATTTAAAAACCACTTAAAACAACATTAATATTTTTTAAGAACCCCAAGTCCCGCTGTTCCAGGAAAATTACGGCCCAGGGAAACAGGAAAACAGCTTCGACGTCAAATATCAGAAAGAGGATAGCGAAGATATAGAACCGAAGATTGATATTCGACCAGGAATAGTGGGCAGGTTCGATACCGCATTCAAAGAATTAAAATTTTAAATTTTTATTTTTAATATAAAGTATAAATTAACATTTTTTATAATGCAAATTTTTATGTTGTTTGAAAGATTAGTATTTGTTTTAATATTATTTATTCGAATTATATGTGTTTTAAAAAAATAAAAATATACAGATTTAAAACATATTCAATCAGCCTTTTCAATAATAAAATTACTTTTTATTTAGCTATATATAATTTTTTTTACATTCAAATTTTGGTAATTAGTAGATCATACTTTAATAATTTATATATTTTTTTATTTTGTTGTTTTGATATTTTTTTTACCCCCCGTCTCCCTTCCCCCTGTTTCCCTTCCCCACCTTTTTTTTCTCCTCTTCCGTATTTTTCTCCATCTCTCCCTTTACCTCTCCTTTTTTCTCTATTCAAATTGTTCTTTCTTTCATTCCACGTCTCCACCCACCTTCCCATCCTCCCGCCTTTTCCTTCTCCAATCTTTTATCTTAATGTTTTATTATTATATTCCCTTCTTGACCTACACCCTCTTTTTAATTGGGCTCGCTTTGTTGGCCGAGGCCCGCTAGGAAAGGACACTGCTGGAAAGCCTTTCACCGATGGTGACAATAACCACGATACCGAAGGGTTTCCATTGTCCATGCTGCGTAAATGTTTATCGAAAGGCCTATTCCACCGACACCTATGTTTCCGCGCGGACGGTCAATGATATCACCGGGCATTTGGAGTGTCAATTTAAGGCGCTCTTTGCATCCAGCCAATTTTGGCAACGTCCTCAGCTACTCCTCTGCCTCAATTCCGTCGAGGAGATGTCGGCACGGAACTGGGACTCGGGGTATTCCTCAAAATAGTCTTTTGAAACCTTGAGGATAATCCACTCCCCTAAGTTTTGAAGCCCGTCAACCTGCCGTCCCGCGACCAGGAAACGGCAGCCTCGAGCCCAGATTTCCGCCAGCGCGGTAAGCATTGCTTGTTCGGAATCGCCATAATACTTGGGGTCTATTATCCGGACCATGGTATCCCAACCAATAATGAAAACGCTTTTTGGAAAGTGGTCGGCTTTCAATCGAAGGTCGGAGTACGGGTTAAGGCCACGGTTGCTTACCTTCCAATCCATTCAGTCGCCGAACAATCTCTTCCTCCTCGAGGGGCGGCTTGTCCACGTTCAACACGGCCAATTCGTACACCACTTCGAGGCCGGTTATCTGCCCCGCTATGGCTGCCATTTGCTCGTGTCCCAGGTGCAAGGGATTAAACGACCCTGGCAGCACTGCGAACGGGCCAGCCTTTCCGATCTCAAATGGAACCATTACCGACCGATCCGCACAATGACTAACCACTCTCAGACACGAGCCTCTGGATAGCACTGGCGTGGCGGACACTGGATACGTCCGGGTGTTCCGCCTCGGTAAAACCAATGTCAATTTCTGCTTCAACGCCATAGGCCCTGGCCATGGCCTGTATAAGCAGACGACTCACCACCTCTTCTTCGCCAACCCGTTTCTCCGTTTTGCCCCTGTATCGAGGCCCATTGATAGTTCGTCACAGTGTGCATCCCAGGTGGCGATACAGGCACGGTGGTCGCCACGCTTGGGCCGGTCGGTGGCGATGGTGGCGGTGCAGGCCACGCCCACAACCGGAGACTCGTCCTCTCGCAAGGCCAAACCCCGGCGGTAGGCAGCCAGGGCCATATCATTGGCATTCTGAGACACGTACTGGGCTGGTTCTGACCACCAGTCGATCATGAGAATCGCCCGTAGGGACGCAGGTTTCCAGGATATGTTCGCGTCGGCCCCCGACACTCCCAGCAGCCAAGACCATGCGCTGCTTCCGGCACAGCAACGGCCAGCACGGACTAGTGGAGTCCCCGTGCAGTTGGGTATTACTTCTCAATTCTGCTCATGTAACCCACTCACTGAATTTCA